GTTTGAGCGGAAATTCGTAACTTCTGTTTATGCGGACCTAGAGAGTTCAAATATGGTAAGATTACAGCTCTTCAGTGGAACCTCGTCTTTTTGATAAGTGGTGTAGGATATGACATGATCCCAGGTACTCGGTGGCAAGAATCGATTATAACTGAAAAAAGAAGATGAGGGGCCTATGAGGGCAAGTGCCACCTGCCGATCGAAATCCTAACGCTTCGGTATTTACGATGTAGCTTTGGCTGTTCAGTCTGTTTCATTCGATAAGATGAGATGGTAGAGTAATGTGACAAAAGAAGTGGCTAGCGCTGTCATAGGGACCCATTGGATGCACTACGATGAGCAGATGAGAATTTTGTTCATTTCTTGCTATTAGATTACGACCGGTACCCAACAAGGCTCTTGACTCAATGAAGGATCCTCTTTGTTCGATATCATTTGCGAAAAGCCTAACCGACCGCCAGTTATTTGGAACTCTTAACTAATGTTATCTCTGTGAAGTAAAAGGTTCATTGATAACATCTGATAATGGTGTTACCACCACACGAAATATTTGTAAGTACCGTCCAAGGCTTTAGTTACCTGATAGTTCAATCTTTATTGGGTATTTTTCTTCAAGAACGAGAGCAAAAGATCGAGAATCCCAATTACAGACATAAGTACCGACTCTCACTGGATACCAATACCCTGTTAGTCCGGTGTCAAACTTCGTATACAGGAAAATATTGTATTTCACGGAGTGGAGAGTTAGCCGATTACTACAACTTTGTAAAAGAAGGGAGGAAGCCCGGCGTTATCCGGGCGGACCAACTTTACATAAGAAGGAGGGAAGCTCGGCGTTAGCCGGGCGGCCCGACTGGTATACTTATAACGCGAGAGCAGTCTCTTTCAACGCCACTTTCCATGAGCTCCTCGAAGCGATTAGTCGCATCACGTACCTTGTGATTGCACTGCAAGAAAGCAAGAGCAAAAGGACCAGCAAAAGGACGTGTGACGAATGAATATTGAAACCCAAATTATTCACGGCAAAAAACTTCCATCGCGAACGTCGGCGCCGTTGGCTCTGTCGCCCATCAGTCGATTCTCACCAGGTCCTGTTCCCTCATTTTGCCATCCAACACCTACGACATGTGCACCTGAAGGAAATTCTGTCTTCAACTGCTACTCTCTACATTCTGCGGCTGACGGAGTAGAGCTTGGTGCGTTTCACGACCAACTCGAAGAGATCATTCACAACGAAAAGTCTTTCAGGTTATCTACACGTTTGTTGTTGGAGATTTCAACGCTAGAATTGGCGAAGCATCAGAGCAGGAGTTCAGGATTGGAAAGTTCGGAATGAAAGACAAGAACCAGAACGGAAGCCGTCTAACTAGACTTTTGTCCACTGCTCGGCTCTTCCATGGTAGCTGTTTTCTAGAAGAAGGAAGCGCTGGACCTGGGAGTCTCCAAACGGTACAACCCATGCTGAACTGGGCCNNNNATTAACGAACTGAAAGTGGTGCTTACTAGATGTCGGTGTGGTACCATATTTCTGCAGTGGTTCTAATCATCGACTCCGCGCTAAAAACAAGTTCAGTCACAAGCTAGAAGATCTCTCAACTTCGCGCAAAGAGCTTGTAGCATGTTGTATACGACGGATGTTCTGAACGACGCTCTGTCCGGATATGACTGGCATGGGAGGAGAGAACTACAGGGCGATGTATCGATCCTGTCTAATGCTAAGATTGAAGGTAAAATGGTAAGCAATGCTGTCGAAGAGGTTAGAGTAGAAGTCGAAGACGACCTTCTCGCTGCTTCTTACAATGCAATGAATTACTGATTGACTTCTCTCTTTCACTTTACCTACCGCTCCATAAGTATGTTAGTGAGAGTTTTCTCGCGTTTTTAAAAATCACAGTTGTAGTGTGATTTCTAATTCGTAGAGCTGATCTTACTTAAACACAGAGGATCCTATAAAGAGAGGCCGGCAGCCTCCCGATTGAGCGGAGCGTTTAAAAGTTGGATTAGTAGATACGCAAAGAGATTTCCGCGTGCCAGTTAGTTGCATAGAGCTCTTTTCCCATTTCAATCAAAGCGCTAACTCAAATTAGTGAGAAAGGACAGTTTAGGACTTTTTATTCGGATAAAAACACGTTTTGCAAAAGCGAAAACGACAGCGGGAAGCAAACCCTCGTCGCTCACTCTGAGAGAGAGCACTACCGCTACGTCACGTGGACCCTTGTAGCCATTGCGGGCAACTAGGTTTATCAACTAGCACTTTCTCTCCATGCCTTAAGCATGCAAATTTTAAACGCTCACAACTTTTTTAGTAGACTCAATTTGCAGTTTTCATTTCCATATTTCTCGATAACTTTCCAAGCCCTATCGATATACCTAGGTCTCTACTCAAAGTTCCATGGGGATTTGAAACACTTCCCTGGTTAGACCCCCTCCCCATTGCAGGCGGAGTCTTGTGCTGCCACCCACCATGAGGGTTCCCATCCTGTCGCTTATACTCCTACTAAATTCGAACGCTCTAGGTTTACATTAGAACAGAAGTTATGAATTTCCGCTCAAGCATTTATTCCGCGCAAACCCGTCTCCTGCTGGCGGAGTCCGGTCCGTCACCCACCGTAAGTGTTCTAATCCTGCCGCCTGTACTACCAAATTCAAACGCTTTCGGTCCACGGGACAGGAATTATGAATTTCCGGTCAGACACACGCATAGACACACACAAAGACACCAACAGTCACACTTAGCCGATTATATAAGTAGTATGTTATTATAATGTTATTATAACTTGCTGCAGAAGGGTCAAGAGATCGCTATAGACTAAGACGATAAACCTGTTCTGCGCATGTCAACATATCCTTCTGTGGACTGAGAGCACGTAAAATGCTGTCTGTAGTTCCTAAGTTGTTATCCAAATAAATTGATTTTTGTGTGGTCCCGTGGTCCACTGTTTAGCGATACAACACAAAATTTTTAGGGACATGTTTTATTGTTAATATTCTGCTCTTAAAAGATTGTAACAATAACTTCGACAATAGTTAACGTTTCTGCATGACATCAACGATCCAAAAAGTGCTGCTCGAATCTGGAGTTGATTTTCGCTCTTCTTACATGGCTCGCCTCTATTCTCTCTCCTAAAAAGCGTCGTAAACTTCTTTGCCCTACTCCGTACTGATCCAGTCATCCCGCATGATTGATTTTCGTTGAATGGTCAGCGTTAAACAGGAACGCAAAGTTGTGTCATCAATACTTCACGCAAAGGAAGACAAGCTTGTGTCGTAGATATCTTACCAGCAGGGTTAAGGAAAGGCGATGGCGCAGATGGTACGACAGAGTATTCACAGTCTTCGCGTGATGGTTTGTATCCTTGACGCCCGAATACGTTTTGTATTTTTATTAAATAGTTGCAAACTTGTACCACAGTTATAAGCCACCCCCCCCCCCCCCCCCCCNTTTTTTAAAAAGTTACAAATTTTTAAAACATTTTAAACCCCCCCCCCCCCCCCCCCACAATCGATCTGTAGCCCTTACTCAGCCTAAGCATTTCAGAAAGCAGAACAGAAATATACGAATTAAGCACGTGAAATCAAGGAGCACCGCTTGAAGTTAAATGAGGTCAAAACGAATGTTTGAGCTTCGTTTGAAATCATTTGACTCCAAGCGGTGCTCCTTGATTTCACGTGCTTAATTCGTGTATTTCTGCTCTGCTTTCCGCGCTTCGAACAGAACATACCAGAATAACTCAAACTTTTTCGATGAAAGTTTGATCCTAACTTCATAGGACAGTTGCGCCTGTGCTATTGAAGTGACGGCTTTATGTGAGGAGCACAGGCTTATCAGTTGAGAAGCGCGTCGAAACCACATATGAAAACTATTCACGAAGCTTTCGAGACAGAAACTCTTCTTCAATACGAACAATGTGTGAAGAAAGCTATCGAGAGAGAGATATGAGCGTGGGTGGGTTGACCGTCCCCGACGCTTAGCAAAATTGCAAGTACAAGTAATAGTGAGACCAGCACGAGCCTAATCTCGCACTCCGCTCTTTCGAGAAGCCACTCTAGAGAGAGATGTCAGCCATATGGGGGTGTTCTGCTCGAGTACGATTTTTGCGCACTCTTATAAAATATTTGGTGCCTGCATCATTGCGCGAACTTCAAGCTGAAGGGGCTGCCACCTATTATAATTTTAAGCATTTTGAGCAAAGCTTTCAAATTTCGTCTTCACCGGGTTGGAAGTGGCTCTCTCATGGATTGATAATGGTCAGGGCAACGCTCCCTCGGAAAGACTGTTTCTGAAGACCTCCACTGTGAACGAGGGATGCGATAGGCATAAAGAGGCTTGAAACTTTTTGCAGAAAGTCACTATCACTTTATAAGAAAGCAGAACGAATACTTCGCCAACTTCGCAATAGCTTCAGTTGGTGACAGCTAGTCGATCTGCTCATAAGTATGACGAAATCTCATGTCACACGGAGGGAATGCTTTCGTTACTCAAGTCCGAAGATTGTTACGTGCTTTCGGAAAGAGTCTGAGATCAGTCCCCGAGGATACGATGCATTCTTTATATGCGGCGGTACACAAACCATCCTAATTGGCAGATACAGCCTAGAATACTTCCCTTGTAAGGCCAATTATTTTTTGTCTGAAAGTCCTCGCGCAGTTCGTAATACGACTCCCATTCAGAGTCACAGTGCAGCTTTGAATGCTTGCATGGCCTAGTCAGTGACCCAGCTAGTGTATAAGTCCCGCTTTTATCCTATCGGACGAGTCTGATACCAATTGCCCAGCCCCGAAGGGATGGAAGGCTCCGCTGGCCTGGGGGCGTAATTTTCCGAGATATCAGCCCTAAAACATACTTGTTTACTGCTTTTACTGCACTGCTCGCCACGACACCAATCATGCCCGTTGTGTAGAGATGTAGGTTGCGATTATTATGACATTTGGAACTTGCACTAGCGATCTATCCGTAAGAAAGTTATCATTGAGAAATATCGATAGTGAAGTATGATTGCTATTCCACTTGAACGCAATAGATTTTACCGTCGCATCCAAATCTACGTTGAAGTTTCTCAACTCTTGTATAAGGCTGTATTCACTGAGATTATCATCGAATCTGGAAACAGCGTATAGTTGGCGCCGGTAAGTGGTGGGAGTTATAAAAATCTTCTGATCGGTAGGTGGCTGTAGCTCACATTCTTTTTTCTTCGTCCATTTTCATGAAAAGCCAGACCAGAGTATAATGGTGTGGTGACTGTACCTGGAATATCCATACGTTGAAACAGGAGTTTTTGATACTCAATCAAAGTGGCGGAGGTGTTCAACTGCTTTTTCGAGGGATTGTTATGGAGCAAACAACGTGGGTTTCTTTATACACTATCAGGCATTGTACGCTTTTGTGACACAACATAATTGCTTCAGAAAATCAGTCAAAAATGAAAAAAAAATGCGTGCTCCATTCCATCGCCTTCGGATGTTTGAAACTTTCAACAATCCATTCGCAACACAATCGACTCACACGTCATATATTCTGAGTTCTCTAGTTTATCAGCCATCGATTTCAGTGAGAACCTTTCAAGTCATCTCATTCAAAAGTTCGCGACATTCGAAGGGATGATGTAAATGGAAAGATCCGGCGAACGTCCGTTGCGCGTGTCCGTCGAAAGTAGGTAACCCCGCCCACTTCGCCCACTTCGCGCTCTACTGAGGTCTCGAGATGACATTACAGTACCCCCAAGTGTAAGTGGAGCGAACGATTTGCATTTGTCTATGTTATCTTCTCTTTGGCTGACTACCGTGGAGAAAGCGCAAATCGTATGCCCCGCTTACAGCTGCGACCTCTGTCAAGTATCGCGGGCTGCCCCGCCGCATGCGACGGCTGCGGCGTGACCTAGTTTCGACGGACACGCGCAACGAAGCGCACCCGAAGGATGCTGGGTACATCGACATTGTCTTGATTGGAAGCCAGCATAGATGGTTGCGCCACTGCGCAATCTCATCATCACCTTGGAAAAAATATTCAAGATTTGAAAGGAGGACATTAGAGACCAAATTCGACGCGGAACGCGACGCCAATGAAGCATCGGAAAAGGACAACCTGCCGGCAATTTCATCTTGAGCTTTAACAGCAATTCAAGGTACTGGTTCTTCTGCGCATAATGTCGATAGACTAATGATAATGTTCAACCAAGGATGAACGAGCACAGATGAGAGAATGTGGCATCCACAATGTTCACTCTGCCCACGAAGAACATTTAGAAGAGGTCAAGCAATAATGTTGTTTGTGTAGTGCAAAGACTGGACAATTGTCAACTTCCCCGCGAGAACGGCGTCTCCACTGGAACCGTTGACTTAATTGTGCCCAAATCATTAACGGCGGTCAGGAAAATATGTGCATGAAAACAAGTTCCACATGGAAACAAAGTTCAAAATCGAAATGATGCCTGCAGTAACAATCTCTCCGCCACCGACAACATTAGCCTCTTTTGAAACGGACATTGGCTGTAGACGCAACACTTTTGAGCTTCCACGCTGGGACTAAGCGTCTGGTTTGGATGGATAGCGATGAGCAGGCTCCAGCAATGACTTGTGCAGAGTCACGTGGTTGGAGACCCCGGCACAGCTAAAAACTTGGAGCACGCGGGTTTTGGTGGTTCTATCTTGGGGAAAAGGCTGTCATTGCTGAGGTGTATCTCTCGGTGATAACATCGACAACTGGATGGCTGCACACAATGACACGAACATTATTATAGCTTCAGACAACAGCGAGCACTACACAACTCTAACTGGTCGATTACCGAAGCAGACCTAAACAGCATCTTAACCGCTGTTGTTGGAGAAAAGAAGCTTTTTGATGCCGAGATGCCACCTTTGCGCTGGGAGTAGGTTGTTCACAAAAATGGTCCAGTTGACATCGCACTACATCATCAGTCACTTGTATCCTTTGCTGCTCATTTTATTCAAAGGGAAACTTTCGAACTTTTGAAAGAGATTCTCATATATGAACTCAAACGCGGAACTTCACAAAAGCAGAACAAATTTGAAAACCCAATGACTTTTCTTCTCATATGGAAGACTGCTCTTCCTGACGGCTAGGTTTCACATCCTAAGTGTCATGATTTGTGAACACCGAGGGATGGATCATAACTAATCGAACTCGAAGACTATATCCAGTGATAAGGGAGATATATGTTTTAAGTCTCCATCATATGTATGTAACGAACGAGAACATGTAATCTTGACCTAACATGGCTCCCGAATGGTTACAGTCAAAATTTTTCATTTACGAGAAGGCAGTGATAACAGCTCATTAGAAGCCTTACTCGATTCAAATTCAGCATCACTCTTCCTTGGCCAGAATTGTAAAGAAGTATGACAGTAATTAGCACTGTCATAATAATAGTTAAGATAACCAGCACTATCAGCCACTTCCATATTCTCGTGACTTCATGATCGACAATTTGAGCAATTTTAGGAAAGCATGCCGTATCGTAGGTGCCAGAAATACTGGAATATGTCGAATCATGCTAGTCCGTGACATCAATGCAAAGTTTATGATTCTAACCATGATCATTCTGATTGCTAGAATATCTATAACATTAGGGGTAAAAATGTATTCTGACCACTTCAATCATCTGGCCTTTGTAGCCATTATAGACCAAGAGTTCATGTTTTTTTTTTCGTGTTGCGATATTTGATTTTGTCTTACACTCTGGTGAGGGAATATCTCCCTATACAATCTGCATGTCTTTGCGTTCCTTTCTTTACCTTTCTTGAACCATCTTCGTCATTAATATCTGAAGCAGCTGCAATAATTCATGAGCCAGTGCTTTATTGCATGTGCTTGACGGTTTGCGGTATGTCCCTATGTCGTTCTCTCTGTCCGTGCGCAAAATTTTAAATAATGTCTGTCGGTTGGTGTGTTGCTGTGTTTGTGTGTCGGGGTGTCGGTGAGTGTTTGTGTAGATGTGCATCTGTTGATTTATGTCGCAGTATGTGCAGGTATGCGGGTCCGTGTGTGCGTCTCAGTGTGTCCGCGTGTGTGATTGTCAATGGGTGGGTGAATATGTGTGTGTGTCGGCCTGTGGGATGTCGGCGAGTATTTGTCGGAGTTGTGTGTCGGTATGTCTGTCCAAAATTACATAACTCCTGCTCCCTTGGACCTGAAGCGTAAAAACTCGACAGGAGTGCAAACGGAGAAATGGGATTTCCATTGACACGTGGCAGGACTGGAGTCTGGCCATGGGTGACAGGTTTCTTCTGTTGAACCTAGGACGTTCCGAAGGGCTTAAGCTGTATAGGGTAGGGACGCTAATGTGAGTGATAGATAGGGTTGGACTCCGCCTGCGGACGGGGAGAATGCAATAGGTTTTGTCGGCGCAATGTTCAAACTTGAAGCATGTATGCGGCAGGATATCCACCCAAGCGGCTGATGGTACGAATTAGACTATTTCTCAGAAGCTGGGCGTACTTGAAAGTTCTTCTCTTGGGCCTAGAGCGTTCAAATTTGAAAGTTATACAGGCGTCAAGATGTAAACACCTATGGTAGTCTGCAGAATTGAGGTCGGAGCACGCGCGAAGTGAGCGTAATCTGAGTAAAACTACGCAGTCAAATTGAACAAAGTTGCCCGAATACACATGACTTGGGCAAGACTCCGCTCATGACGGGCTAGGCGCTCTCGAAATGTATCTGGGTGTCTATATCTGATCGGAAATTCATAGCTCCTGTTCTGCCGAATAGAGCACCCAAATTCGGATGGGATGTTGGCGACAGGCTATGTTTAACACAATGGTAAACTTTTGAGCTTGCTAAGTGGTTTTTCCACATCTACCACCAGTAGCCCTCGCTCAAGGGATACAAAGCATACCATTTCGTTCGAGTAATGTTTTTGCAAAAATGTCCGACTGGCGGCCTTCTCGCATTCATTTGACACCTAGAGGGACCCATTCAGCAATCGCTTCGGCCCAACGGTCATCACTATATCGCATGGCGCGTTTTTCTCTGATCTAATCTTAGATTTCTTGACATAAGCAACGACGACCCTGATCTTTACTCGTTGACTGTATTCGGAGCTCCGGATTTTTTTCTGCGTTCGCATGAATAGGGGGATCTCTGAGGCCTACGTCAAAACAGGAATCTTAGCAGTGACGAAAAAGTGAGCGCGGAGTCGGACGTTCTCCGTCTCTTTAAGTAATCTCCGCCCCGTGCCCTTCCTCCTGCTCAGCTCCGGAGATCCCTTTCTCACGATTCCCGTCTTCGTCATCTTCAATCTTGAGCCCATCATCCCACAGGATCTGTCAAATTCGACAAGCATTTGTACCGCTTGCTGGATGGTCGGTGTTAAAACGTATGCAAAGCGGATATGACGAAATTAGCGGACATCAACTTTCACTACAAAATTTTCCAACATCATTTGACACATGGACTTCACGCGAGCGAAACTGAAAGGATTGGTTGAGGCAGTAGCTCCTGTAAGCCCCTCTCCTCAAGTTGACTGCGACTTCCTTCGACTATGGCGATTTTCTGGCGATCCTTTCAGTTTCGCTTGTAGGACTCACAAAGCATCCCTATCTATTGAATAAGTACTGTTCGGTCGCCGGAGGCTCCATACTATTGTCTTGTCTCGACGGCACCAAAGGCCGGCTTAAAATCTATGAAAATGATACTAATGGCAATCCGTACTTTCGCGACTGTGACACTGTGTTAGTCCTGTGACAGAGTGGACATGATTGATCATACTGAAGCCTGCCCGAACCCTTGCTTGCTCATATGGCTGTACATCGTCCAGATAACTAACAGAAGGCAAGGAGAGCGATTGATGGAAGCATCGCCTGAGTCACTCTTCTTATACAGCAACACAATCTCATTAGTCTGTATGAAAGAGCCCATTCACTACGAGATGCTGGGCGCGGACAAGATAGTCACAGCCACCGTTTACACTGGTCAACTTTAACATTCAGCCGACGGTATCCGAAAAATTCGTCCAGAACCTTCACAAATAACGCGAATTTTACATGAAGACCCGGGGGGACGGAACTTACGTGCGTCCGAGGATGCGCGCGGCAAAGTGCGCGGCGAAGTGCGCGGCGGTTCGAGCGACCCTGGCGCCTACCATTTGGGCCCAAATTTGAAGTAGAGTAGAGTAATGTGGTCAGCTGATCCTACTCTACTTCAAATTTGTCCCCCAATAATAGACGCCAGGGTCGTTCGAACCGCCACGCACTTCGCCGCGCAATTTGCCGCGCGCATCCTCGGGCGCACGTATGTACCCATACCCGAAGACCCGCCAAATAGTCACCGGGGCCTGCTAGTTTCGACTGCTTATCTACAGAGCTCTCCGAGCGTTCCAATTTTGATTACCATTTCGTCAAGCTGCTTAGTTATCGCTTCATGGAAGAGAGTTAGTAACATACATACATATGTTGATCTGCAAATGACAGTCAATCATTACATTCTCGTGGGTTCTGCAGGAAAAATATTGGATTCTCGAAGCTCAATGAAATAAGTTCTGTTCATTGAATGTAATGCTGTTTTTTCATCGGTCTGGGAATTCTCGAGATCAATTCGGTATGCAAAACTTTTTGTCGGGGAACTTTTCTGCCCATAATAAATTTGCCTTTTCAACCGACTAAGACTGTAATTTAAAGACGAAAACAATCTAGGCTTACTTGGGTTTTCTACGAAAATGATTGTGATAGTACTCATACGCAAGTACGGGATTTTTTTCTAGTTTGATGAGTTCCTCGGCAAATGGTTCTTCATCGTCCGGCATCCTTTGACATCCAGCTCTGCGCAAAAATCTATCGAGTACTAACTACGAATGGTAAGAACCTGATCCATGAACTATATAGTTTTTTTCTAACGATTCGGCTTAGACAAAGTAGTAGAAAAGAACAATTCTTGATTCCAGAATTTTGTAGGTACTTTTACGAAAAACTGGAGTACTTCCTTTCTTCTGAATTTGAACTCTCGATAGGTTTGTTGGCAACCGTGTAACTCAGCGTTGATTGAAGTATTGGTCTCGAACTTGTGGAACCACGATTAAAAGCTCAGATATGCGTATGTCTAGTGCTAGAATAAACGCTATCGGCCTTAGCTGTTATGGAAAGCTTGAATACTTGCGCTCTTTGGCTTGGTGCTTGGGGCAGATCTCGCCCTGTGAACGCTTTTCGGTGCGTATCTTGAGAAATTGATCATGGAGCACAGGATCACGAAATAGGAATGTGTATACTTTTTGGGCTCCCCGAATTATTCCCATGCAACTTCCATCACGAAGCTCAAAATCATGTCCGATGAGCAGTTAGCGTACATACATTTTCCTCAGCTTTCAGGTTCCGGTAAACTTCTTTTTTGTTTCATATAATGTGAATGTGAAACTCACACTGAACAACAAAACTGTGGTAAGTAGCAAGAACGCGCTTCCGTCCTATTTACACAGTATATCATCCACTCAAATCCATTGGGATGTATAAGAGTTTCATTGGTAAACTGAAAGAACGTTGATTTTTGAATGTCCGCTGTTCTGGTGATTAGATCCTGATTGTAGAACTGTAACTTGCAGTGTAGTGGCAAATGGCGCGCTATTAAGCGCACATGGACGCGGGTTCAAATCTCAGATCAGATCCGTCTAGGCCAATCAGGGTCGAATAATCCCTCCGAGGTCTTTCCGGAGTCGGTCAATTGGTACCAAACTCGTCTGGGAGGATAAAAGTGCTGACTTGTACATGGGCTGGCTATCGCTAGTCATTGTGCAGTCCACATACGCAGCAATACGTCACTACGATTCCGAATGGAAGTCGAGTGTGGGAACGCATCCCCCTGCCGGGATTGATTAACCCCCGAAGATTTCATCCTCTATCATTTTCGAAGCCCCCTTTTGGCGATGCATATTTTTGATAACTCCATGTTTTCCCAAGCGCCTGTGACGTATGATTAGAGCGGGAAGTAGATAATTCAATTAAGAAAGCAACTTGGTAAACATTTACGCGTACACAAGGAAATGAAATGAGTGGGTGACAAATGCGTAGAAATCAGGTACTCACAAGATTGTTATAACGGTAGAGAATTATTGACGTCCAATCATCAGTGTTTTCAAAACCGCAACACTGAAATGGAATTGTCACTCTGGAATATGGGCAAGGCTTCATAACACACCTGATAGTAGTGGTGTAATTCTTCAACTTCATCGAATGTAACGGGGTTTTCGATTAATGCATAGCCATACATGTCGCTTATAAGACGGTAAGAATAGGCATGGAATCCAGCTGAATTGTATTCGAGTTCGACTCGAGTTGACTCCAAAAACAGTAAATTGTACTGTTCCCGCTACTCAAGACCTGCAGCTCAGTCGATATAACTGAAATCTACGGTCGTATCACAAAAAGATGGTTTCATGTGATATCACTTGACCAGCTCTGACAGTGAATGAGAAATCGTCTAGGAAATCTATGTGAATTGCTAAGATCCTTGCTGTAGAGTTTCTTCAGCAGACCTCATCGATCTGGGATGATCTTTCATCGCAAATGAAGAGGGCAAAAGGACTGTTGGAAATTGTGGATGGTTGAGTGAGAGGTATCAGTTGGTTGGTTTTTTGCGGTTGTATACATCACCGTCGAGTTCGGTTAGACCAGCATTAAATGGCCATCTTTGATGATATCGAGCGGCTTTCGCTCCCTGTCTGTAGACAAAGTCTCCAAAGCTGACATGCAATTAATTGGTGATACATTCGCCATCGGTTTTCTCTGGGCAAAACGGATGGCAACAGCGTTTAACGAAATCTAGACAGTAGGTAGCAAATTTGGTAATCTAAATGATGAAAAAGTCGTTTATTCACCAATGATTTGCTCCGGTGATGAAAAAGACGAAGCGTGCATATCGTATCGCGTATGTATGTCACGACTGCCATTCTATGTTGCAGCGTTCTCGAAGTTTGGGGTTTTTGAGCGAATGTAAAGTAGGTATAGAGGAATGCACGACCTGTGACTCTCATACAAATGAACAACATAATATTACCTATGTGGGAAATTCGATTTGAGTAAACCATGGTGGCGTCATCAATCGCTAACGGTTTATACAAGAATCAGTGTGATGTTATAGAAAGTCGGCACTCGAAAGGGCCCCGTGACATAGGGCCGAGCACTTACCCGAACGTCACAGAAAGGAACTCAACTTCGAGAAAAATCTCACCTAGAAAAGGGCTTGATGCAATAATAAAAATAACAACGAGAAAGTTTAATGCGTAAGTATAGGCGATCACCATGGACCGCTGCAGTTGGATGACGGCCAAAATTAGGATTTCAGTTAAAATGAATATGACTACCATAAAAATGATCAAAGCTAATCCTTGGTGAACCTAAAATGGGACAAAATTGTAAAATTAGTCGCTAAACATCACTGCGTAACTAATCCTCGGATGTTATGCCTGTACTTATAAAATCTACTTTGCTCAGCAAGCGTTGAGAGCCGGCAAATTTATCACCAGGCTACCACTCACCATTTTAAGTGTTACAATAGATGAGAAAATGGAGATACTGAGCAGTAAGGAAAGGTGTTTGAAGCGCAATTTCCAATAAATTACGAGCAAATTAGTTGCACTGCAAGAAAAGAACAGTTATTTTATTGCCTTTGAAAATCCGTGTTACTTCGTGTCTCGAAGATATGCTAATCTGAGTTTTAGTTAGTATAGCGGTAAACTTGGAAAAAATCTCTGTAGTTCTGTCTTTAATATTGACGTTAATCGGCGATAAAATGTGTTTAATGGATGGTATATTTCATACCAGACGAGTCTTAGAATAGCGACACCCCAGGAAATAATCTTCCACCAACGAAGGGGAGTGCGGTAACGCTTCATAACTCGTTCCACTCCGTATTTTTGACATTCAATAATGAGAGCACGGATTACAGAGACTCGTACTTCTGCAGGCTGCAATGATAATTACTGATGATTCAGTCAATTAAGGGGTATAGTTGTTTAAGGTCTGGTTAAAGGCCAGTTTACGATAAAGACATGGCTCGTAAGTTATCCCGCTAGGATAAGCTTGAGGCCCCCTCGTAGGGTAACGGGACTTCTCCCCTATCGCGGCATTCTCCCTTGCGGCATGCGGCAAATGCCACTGCAATTACCGTACTCACCCCGCCTCCTGCCAATCGATAGGACGCGATATTTTTCCTTGACTGACTTGCTTTTTCATTGGGTATCGTTTTTTCTTCTGTTTCTTTTTAGTTTTCATGTTTAATAGACTTGATTAATTAAAATGGCTCCTCCTATATAAAACACGATCAAGACCGCATTGGAATTGAAAAGAGCGGCCAGCCAATTCAAATAATTAAAGGACTCCCTACCTCACAAATTGCGCGCTCCAATCTTCCATCGCAATCCTGCGATAGGCGGCGGGTGCGGCGTGTGCGACGCCGTGTTAGGGGAGAAGTTCCCGGACCCCCCCTCGTATACCACACGCTGTCAGGTCGGAAAACGGCCTAGATAGGGCGTTATAAAGGCTCAAATACTGACGTGTTGTATCCTCGGACGAGCCACACTGGCACTGTAAAGGCTGCACCAATCACAAGCTAACCCATGTAGCAAGTTCAAATAGCATGTCATGACCTATAGTGACAGTGGAGGGCAGTTCTGCACAGTTCTGGCGTGATATAGGCAGCTCTTTGCGCAATCGCAACAACCGAAATCTCGTCCGAATTCCTCTCCCGTCATGGCAATCTCCTCCATACTCTATATTCGCTTTTTTGGAAGCCTTCATTTTCTCGAAATCTGCGAATTTGCTTGTTTTTTTCACTACCGATGAACTATTTATACTTCCGCTTTCGGACTGAAAAGGGGTAGCTTAAAATAATCAAGAACTTTGTCTACAAATGAGTAACTGAACTGTTTTCTTTGCTTCAGAATCCTCAGTTCTTAACTTGAAGGATATAGGATAAAATCTTTGAGCGTTGATCATTCCCCTCGGACGGATGCGCCCACGCATTCGACTTCCATCGGAATTGTTGTGGGCGATTGAATACGAATGTGGCCTACACAATGACTTGCGGTGGCCAGCCGATGTGCAAGTCAATGCTTTTATCCTTTCAGACAAGTCTGGTACCAATACTACCACGGGAAGATGGGAAGCTTTGTTGGCCCAGGCTCATTCTGGATTCGAACCACTACACCGCCTCCCCCCTATTCGTACTATACATTCCAATTTGGGAAATGTTTCCACGCTGTTCTGCCGAACAGCTTTGTTATGATGAAAGCGCTTTATTAGGTCCACGGCCAACTCGTCGTCTTTAAGCCTGAAAGTAGATCGGAGCTTCTGATTTGTGGCTTGCCCGAAAAAGCGCCCGAACGCGCTAGGCCAATTGCAACAACTTCCAGAAACCCGAAGTTCCTTAGGATCTTCTTAATTAACAACGAGATAAGGAATAAGCTGTTCGCGCACATTCTACTTACATGTGTAAGTCGTACTCCCAAACTTACGAACACTTGCGAAAGCAAAATCAAAGGCTTACAAGGTCCCGGTTACTTCTATCCAGAATAGACCACAGCCAGTCAGATTGCCGTCCGTTTGTGTTGATCATGTACACCTTCCTTTTGGCCTCGCCATGTGCAAATGAGCTATACTTATCGCTTCGAAACGAACACTAACATATTTTTCCAAGTAAGCTTGGTAGAAGTTCCCTCATGTCTATTCATGAAGAAAGCCCCAAGCCTAGTGATTCTGAGAGTCACGGTTCTCAATGCTTAGGTGAATCTATAGGAATCAACGAGTCCAGGAATTGTGAAAAAGCGGAATCCGCTGCCGTCATTCAATACGGTAGTAAAGGTTAAGTCGTGTAATCGTGAAAGATGGATGCTACCACGAATGAGATATGTCAATTCGGAGGGTCAAATCAGCTGCAGGTATGAGCTACGTATAAATCGATCGAGGGTTGGTCCGAATTCTGGCTAATCTCGTCCTCTTCATATTTTACGGTCCCCATCGCCTTTCCGTCCCTATCGGAAAGCACGTTTTCATTTCAATCCCATCACTACCGTTTCAGAAAATCGTTCCTAAAAAGCGCAGAGTTTCAGGGAAGAAGTTTCCTTATCGCTCTTCTAAATAAGTATATGAGATACTTCCTTCATCCATGTTTTCGAAGTTAGAATCTCAGTAATATCTGACTCTTATCGGCTGCCGTCTTACCAATTGTGTCTGTTCCTGGACAGTTTTCGAAGTCCGGTATAATTTGTTTCAAAGTAATTCTATTGAAACAGCCAAGAAATTAGCCATAGGCTTACTTTGAGCCTCGCTTAAGGCCCTTTTCATTGTGCCGCGTAATGCGCAGCATGTGCGATAGAGAAACATTCGGTCTTATTCTCCGGGAGGAGAATGAACAGTGGGTTCTTATCCTATTCCATTGATTAGCAAGTTGTTTGAATGCGTGTGAATGTATAAGGGGTATAATGGTGAGTGTATATGTGTGGATCGTGAAATCATGTGCGTATGTGCGCATGTATATGGACGAGTAATGTAATGACAGGGATCACTTCCGTGCTCCCTCATATACAACGCTCAAGCTTGGTGCGCAGTGAAAGATGGGACTCCGGTTTCTGGACCTGTAGTAGTGCCTCAAAATGATTCTGAGCCACGGGGATGCAGTTTTTTGGTTGGGTAGTGGAGTATTGGCTGCTTTCGTAGTCCGCGATTCAGCCCGCTAGCGAGCGAGCGACCGAGCGACCGGGGGACTACTCGTCCTGCAGTATCGACCAAGATTAAGTTATAAACAAGGGGTAGGCGCCGCCTCCGGTCGCTCATTCGCTCGATCAGTCGCTCGCTCGATCGATCGATCGCTCGCGGGCCGAATCGCGGACTATGAAAGCAGCCATTGGAGTAGATGAGGTGCTTCGTGTCAACAGCGAAACTTGGTCACTTCGGTGGGTTATGTGTATTGTGACGGTACCGTAGATGTTGGCTGACAAAGAGTAATAAAAACTTATAGGAGTGACAAGGTACTTTCGAAAGGCTAGAGCCACTCGAATTACGCTTTTCATGTTAAATGCGTAACCGATTGGCTAAATTCAATGTCATAGAGTCTTGTATGGCCTTGGAGCGTTAATCAATCCCTTCTGAGGGATGCGTCCTTGCATTCGACTTCCATTCAGAATCGTAGTGGCGTACTGAATTCGTATGTGGCCTACACAATGACTTGCGGTGGCCACTTGCGATGTACGAGTCAGTGCTTTTATCCTCCTGGACGAGTCTGGTACCGATACCGACCCCGGAGGTATAGAAGGCTTGGTCGGCGTAGACGGATATCGATCCGGAATTCGAACCCGTGACCGTACGTGCATGTGAAGTGCACCACTTGCCACTACACCACCTCCGTCCTCGTTTTCTCTTCACATTATGACTAAATTTTTCCATAACCTGGGATTCCTATCAGTGATTTTTATCCATACAGATGAGATGAGCCTAGAATAACGGCTTCTGGTAGTGTAGTTTTATCCGTGAGCTACGTTAGTAGGTACAGGCTTCGTTCGATAAATCAGGGTGTTCTCCTATAAAGAAGTCACCGCAACAGTAGACCCCATGGAGGGAACAATTGAATATTCAATGAACGCTCATTGTTAAGTCGAGAGAGTAATAATAAGCTTGAGTGACACCACATTAAATGACCGCTTTTACTATAATAGTTGAATTGCTCTGTTTTCGTCAAGATTCCCTTCTTAAAGATCTATGTGAAATTTGTAGTGCCCCCCAATTGTCTTCAAAAATTTCATGATCAGAGAAGTATCTTTTGTTGTGATAAGGCAGCCGAACATTCCGACTGTCTGAGAAGAAAGGGGAGCCCTACGTAAGCGACTTGACCGGTAAAAAGCAATCGGGAAAAGAAAGGTCGGGCCCTTTTCCGCACGCGACAACACATGCGATCAAAGTCAGAGTGACGCTTTCTTCTCATAGATTGATTATGGCTTCACCTCCATTAGTTACTTGACCTGGAGGTAGTCTCAGGCACCTCGAACAAAGCACATCACCACAGTTTTGACGTTCTGAAGTCAAGGAGCTGCTTTCGTATACATATTTTTAATTAATTTATTTAATGCATCATATGAGCTGTCTTAATGACCGACTTTATATTTATAATTGAACTCCGTACATAACAATAAACGAGAAACGTCGTGACAGTTTTCAACAGCTAACGACGTAAAATCACAGAAAAATGGTGAGACATTAAACAACCAGTCAGCAGTTTGAGGGATGCGAAACGATCACAACAAGCAGTGAAGCCGAACAACCAGTTCGCTTAGCTCGATGAAGCAGCCACTACACCGCGGGAAATAGTTCTATGAGAGCAAAAGAATCACCACGGCTTGGAATGTTCTTCTACTCATGGATTCTGCATGGCTAGGTGAATGATTCTAACTGTCATAAGGCAGTAGCCACGGGCGAGATGGCGAATGGCAACGAAACGACATTTTAAATAGCTATACATTTGAGGATAATACATAACATAGCAGCTGAAGATAGCTTCACTGTTTGATGGATTTTCGCTCAGTTCCCGCATACAACCGAGAAAGAGTATCATATCAGATCGTTCGAAACAATTACTGCGAAAGAAAAAACGGTACCCAGTTGTTATATGATTTCGTCCTCACTATCATCGGACGCAGCATTGAGAAGCAACTGATCAGCAGCAGCTTCAACTTGAGCTAACAACGAGTAACGTGCGGCACGTTCGTCCCATCGCTCGAATACTACACCGTTTCCAAGACTGAAACACTGGCGTTCGACGATGACTTCTTGCTCGTTAACACCACTGTTCGTTCTTGACACCGCAACGGTGACGATACTGAGTTTGAGCTATTTGATATAGCCGTGCATACGGTGGATGAATCTGGTATGGGTTGCGATCGTACTTCAAACGCATATACACTTGATTGCCGTGTACGATACACTGAACCGTCTCCACCACTGAAAGCCAGCTATCATTTACGGTACTCACCTCACAACACTTTGAGCTCTATCACACATGGCTTCTAGGAAATAACTAACAAAAACTTCTGGATGCATGCAATGGACGCAAAAACTTGAGCGCCAATTCATTCTCCTACAGAGACGGCACTCAAGACTTTGTTGCACTCTGGTTCTACGAGTATATGAGGGGTCCTACGACTTCACTATGGAGACATCGTCCTACAACAAAACGGGCTCTAATAAGCAGGATCTACTGGAACGCACACTGTGAGTACCGTCACCCAGCGTACCGTCACTTCTTGGGCACTATATCGAGCGAAGATTCACATCCCCTAAATATGGACAGAGCTTAACTTTTATGAGCGACAACATGCAATCGTAAGCAACGTCAAAACGCTAACAATAAACACAAGCAAACAACAGTGGCCATACGAGTTTGTTACTCAGCAAACATTAGCTAAACACAATCGCCCAAACACACACGAGTTAGAGATCATTTGAAATAATGTGGGGCTAGTTAACCATCACATTAGAACGATTTGGATCAGAACATAAGCTAAGATATCCTCCCCATCGGCTCTCGATGAGATCTTCTTTTCAGTGATATCACTTTATTGAAGCAACTTCGCACGAGAATGACAATACTTCGGTTTTCCATCGCCTACGAGGGTCGATACGAAGAATCAGGGAGGTGGGATATTTCATTCAAAGAGGGTCAGAAGGTTTTTTCTTTCGAGCCTTCCAAGTTTGTATAACTTTATGAGGTCTTGTAAGGTGTTGAAATACTTGGTTTGATAACATTCTAAGACGATACCTTCCAGCTGCAAAAAAAGGCGGTTTCGCCGAAACGTTGACCAATCGAAGTATAGCCAACTTCGTGCGAAGTTGTATTGTTAAAGTGATTTCAATATGCCCAGAAATTTCGTAGCTGAGATTGAATGCTAATTCAATAATTAGAACACTACCACTCCAATATTTTACTCTATGAGCACACCCATAACGAAGCAAAGCTTTTAAAAATGACCCTGAAAAGCATTCCAACACCAGTCCACCGCACACATTGATAGTTTATCAGTAGAGACTTTGCGACAAGCAGGAAGCAAAGCAATCGAACACTTTAAAGAAATTGGCTTAATATTAGGTGAAGCACCATCACAGATCGAGTCGAGAACTTTATTCATGTGAATTCAACCCCCCCCCCCCCCCCCCCCCCCNCCCCACAGCGTGCGCACCCTCGAAAGAATTTAGAATTATGAATTAACAACGCGGCTCTTGTCGAATTGGTAGGCAAAGGTAATATTCGATTAGCTACTCGAACGACGATGAAGTCCCACTAGGTCAAAACAACAGGGTGGCCTAAAAGATGTAGTGCTAACACATTAGATCCCGAAAAAACAGTGTGATACTCAGCGAGGGATGCAGATGGGCAGATGCAAAAATTCTCTATGGATCAGAAAAGCTAAGGAATATTAGACAAACCTTGAGAATATAGGCAACAGCCACAATTTCCGGTCGTAGCCGAAAACCTCTCTGTAATTGGCACGTATACCGTGGTCGAACGCGCGTTTATCGGGACCTCCTTCTAGCATCGGAGCACGGAATGATTCTAAATCGATTTATTATAACTTTAGAGATCATGATAAGGAAACAGGCAAGAATTTTGAAATGTTGTGAATTACGCACCAACTGTCGTCCTATTTCTCGCTGTTAGGTAGAGGTGATAGAAGAAAAGAAACGAGAGTGATATGGCGAACATTCCGGAAACGAAAACCAGAAATAGTATGTGGATTTTGCTCGTCTGAAAAAGAATGTGGAATCGTATATCCGTATATCAGAATGTATTAATGAAAAAGGTAAGAAAAAGTCGGCACTATTTACCCTTTACTGCCCCACTCTGTCGAGAAAGGGCTGGATTTCTACCGAATTTTTTCAAAGAAGATGAAACCGGCTAGAAACTT